TGTCACACTACTGGGACAAGCCCGATATATTTGATCTGCATACATCTGAGCCAGGTCTACTTCACCCCAAGAGGTGAAGGCCATCATGTTTCACCCTTTCATCTGATAGGGCCACTTTTGCAAACATCACAGATACAGTTATCATAGCTGCAACAATTAAAGAGAAAAGCAATGACAATATAAAACTCGGCAGCCTGGCTTTCAATTTAGATTACCTGGGCCAGGCAACAAGAAGAGTTACTGAATGTAAATTTTTTACAGAGAGGAGAGGAAAAACAGCTTATCTTCTCCAGAGGAAAGAAAAAAGTTCACACTCATCAGAGATAAAGCTGCCCCAATAGTTTGTGTTCATATGCATGTGTAATTTGCCAATATTGCTGCAAGAAAAGATTTTCCTCTTCAGTTCAATGTTTCACGTATTGAGTAAAGATTTCAATGCAAAGCTTATGGAGCAGGAAGACAGTTGAAAAAAGAAACCTAAAGGACTACACATTCTCAATTACATTCCCAATTTATAAGAAATCCAGAATCATTCCAAATAGCTGAAGTCTAAGATGACCACCACTACTGACAGTTAAAAGGATACTGCAAGATCACATCAGTAACATTAGGGGCAGAGTGAGTGAAAGGGGCAGGCCTACACACGGAACAACAACAACAAAATCTCTTTTCCGCCTGTAGTCACAGAACAAGGAAAACCCCTGGCATGCTGAGGGAAAATGACTGGTGAGGGGAGAGTTTTCTGTAAGTCTAGCTATTTTAGTTCCCTATCACCCAAAATTTTCAGAGAGGAAGGGCTCTTCTGGGAAATAGTCTTAAGGTCTCTGGTTAGAAAAATCACTGATTCTAGGGTGACTCATCTGTCCTCTTGTCCCCAAAAGAGGTCTGAGAGAAAACGTGTCTCAAGGAGATAGTACCAAACTGCACTTAAATACAAGTTTCTGGGTTTGGTTAGCTTTCAGACTTTCCCAAAGTGTAAGATTTTAAAGCTGATTAATTTCTTACATACTGCACAGGAAACCACCTTTGTCACAGGCATATTTGTCTAAGTCTGCACTGACTTTTGACCCTGGGTATTACACTGTAAACAAGGTTTGCAAGAAGAAGTTTTTTAAGGTAAACACCTGAGAATACTGGCAAGCACATTTACTACTCAGACCACAAATCATTTCCATTCCACACTAAAAAAGGCAGAAAAACGTCTGTATGTTCATTAGCTTCTATGAAGCTAATAAAGTTAATTATACTCCTATACACTATCCCCAGTACATACAGAATACAACCAAAATCAGGAATAGATTTTTTTTTTCTGTTTTTGTTCCCCCCCAAGGAGCAGGAAATAACAACATGCTAAAACTTCACACACAAAGACGCACAAGGCGCCAGTATCTCCCTGCTGGCATTAACAACTGGAGGCAGGTATGTGTGTATAAGGCTCAAGCAATTTTACTCTTTGCTGTTTAATACCACGCACAAAGCCCTTGTTCCCATGACGGCAACACAAACGCTGCACAATATACAAATACCAATATGATTATCAAGGCAAAGAGGAGTGTCCTGTATTAACAATAAGTCATCATATCAGGTCTCATATTAAGAGGGAAGGTCCTTCAAGAGACGCAGGGAAACACTTCACACTCTAAACGTGGTCTACTGTTAAGAGTCTGACATTTCTGACAGCGGCAGCAAAAACAGGATATAACAGCAGTGGGTGTAGTTCTGATTTGGAAAATGATCTTTGTTTCACAAGATGAGCTCATATGGAAGCCCCTACGCTAGAGGGAGAGAGTAGGAGGTTACTTTGTTACAGGAGGCATTGTGTGGAAGCATTTTGTGCTTCCTCTGCCCTGCTTTGTTTGAAGCGGTAGAGGTGGTGAAACCACGCAAAGGTAGCTGCATTTTGAGTCTGGCATTTTTCAAAGTGCTGAATTGTTTGGAGCATGCTCCACAACTTTCACATTTCCCTATAAAAGAATGAGGATTTGGTACGAGGTACTTAGGAAAAAAGGGAAATCCTGCAGTAACTTTCACATTTTTCATTACTGTATTAGGCTTAAATAGTTTGTTCTCTGTGTAAACTAGTAGTGACCACTCAAATTTCCATTTAGAGATGCACTAGTTTAACACCTCAGTCCTCCTAATAAAAAAAAAAAAAAAAAAAAACAAATTAAAACTGGTTTTACAGTAGGGAGATTAGGCAGATTTCCACGCAACTTTCTAACTACGTAATTTTAAACCACGCTTGGAAAATGAAGCGAAAGGAAACTCTGCTCTGCAAGATAGTTTCAGGCGGATGAGCAGCAGCGGGTTTCGTTTCTCCTCAGGGGCAAGGTCGGGCTCAGGCCCCACTTGCGCCGGACGCTGGGGCTCTCTGCACCCGGCTTAGCCCGCCCCTCCGGACCTAGACAGGGAGGAGGGCCCGATCCGTAGCACGGTGTGTTGGGGCGCCTATACTGTAAGGCGCAGAGTAGGAAAAGAAGAGGGAAAGGTACAACGCACCCAAACACGCCGGGGAGGTCTCATCTACAGCAGCGGGGCCAGGTCCGGCATTAGCAGCAAGGAGGAGCAGGGGGCGGTACCGGCCTAGTAACAGGCTCCCTAGCACCGGGCGTGGTTTCGAGTATCGCTTCTCTTTCACATCAGTAAGACACGCAGACACTTTTCGCTCGTACCTCTTACTGCTGTTGGAGAGATCTGAGCCGCCCCCGCGCGTAGGTAGTAACGCTGTTCAAGGCAGAGATCGCCCCTCGCTAGGGGACAGGGAAACTTGCTTTAGCTGCCTTACCATCATTATGCATCTGTCGGGTCATGTTCGCTAGCCCTTGCGATTTTATCGTGAGTCCGGCCGTTAGGTGTTTTGGGGCGAGGAGGGGGAAGGACTGTGCTTTTCGTTTTGCTTTATAGTGTACTGCAGGAAATGAAACTCGGAGCTGCGCAAACCAACCGGCCGAGGCCCCACAAGATGGCGGTGGGGATGTTTAGTTCTGCGCGCAGCCCCCTGGCGGGCGCCTTTGGATATCCGTTACGGACAAAATGGCCTCTGACTAGCTGAGGTGCTGGCAGCACTGTGAGGAGTTGGGTTGCCAACTGTGGGTTGGCAGTAGGATGATCTTGAGCTCAGTATGCGTATAGACGTTTATAGGACTATGCTTTTTATACTGGTCCTCGTATGAGGACCGACAAAAGCAGTTTTGTTTTTGCCCCAGTAGCCATTCAGTAGTAACAGACTTTTTCAGTGAGCAATTACATACTTGGGGTAAGTGTGGGCATGTGTTTTGGCGGGAGTTTATACAGAAGTAAACTTTTACTTGGTTCATGTCTTGCTCTATCACTCTGAGTTTGCTTGTTCATAGTGAGGGTAATATTGTACAGGTCTGTGAAAGTTGTATGCTTCCCATTGAAACAAAGATCAGTAACATCCAAACCCCCTTGCTTTCTAACTTTCCTCACCAAAGTGGGAAGCTAGGTGCGGCCGGGTAAGGAGTCCGACATAATGAAACTCAATAACAGAGTGTTATTAAGCAGGCATTCTTTGCAGCACTGGGGATCGCTCCACCATGAGTGCTCCAACGATTTGTTAAACTTTCAGAGGTTATATACCATAAAGTTACACATATTCATAGGATTTCCAAGAGCTCATTTACATAAACATCAGAATTTCTGGAACTCATTAATATATGCAAATGCCTGACCCACATTTGCAGTCGTCTTCCCTGGTGGTCTTTTGTCTTGGCTCATCACTGTTGCAAGTTCCTTATCTTGGTCTCTATTGGTGTCTGTTGGTTTCTTTGTGCTCTTAAGGATGTATCAGTCACAGTTGCAAATATGATGTCCTTAGGTGCATTCTTGTCTGAGTTGTCTAAAGTGAGATTGTCCCCAGAGCCTCCTTATCTTACAGCCATTCTAGCTATCCCCAAATCACAAAGGCCCCCGTCTAAAGTGAGACTGTCCTGGAGCCTCCCCACCTCACAGCCATTCCAGCCATCCCCCAAAGGCCCTTCCTTTGTTCAGCTGAGTAACCAAGATACTTACAACATCTTCCTTGTTCTTGGGGCTTTTAACTCTTGCACCATGGTTGTATAGTCTTCAGTAAATTTTAAGTAATGCCTTGTCCCTGTAAACTGGGTGTTGTGATTCCCTTGGTATAAACCAGCAACTTCTATGAAGCAACTTACTCTGGGGTGCTAGTATTGTAGTTGGAGCTGCTCTCTTAAAGGCCTAAAATGTAAAATTCTGGGCTATTTTGTCTGCAGAAATAGACAAAAGCCACCTCCATATGTGGTGAAATTAGACACATCTATATAACTCTGAGCTCAATGGATTTCAAAGCATTTACAAAACAGTGAGTCATTTTTTTTGTGCTGCTAAAAATACAGCAGTGGAAGCACAGTACTCTGGGATAGCATGCTGTTGTGCAGACTCACGCTGTCTTTGGAACTGCAGGGAAAATGGAGGCAGAAAGTAATCACCCACACTAGAATTTGGTCAGGTACCAAGTGACTGCTCTGTGTTCTGAAAAAAATATCTGGATCCTTACTGAAATTGTATGGTCAGGCTCTCACTTTAATATCAGTCTTTCAAGTGTATCGCAGTATCCCTGCTATTAAGATGTAGTATTGGATTGCTGCTGATTCAGAAGGAAACCAGCTACCTGCTGTGAATCAATATGCATGCTTTCTCCTTGGATCTATTCCATACAAACACATAAAGACTTGTACAGGCTAATAGAAGAGGTTTAAGGAGATGGTATGGCTGCAGGTTTATGAAAGAATTATTTTGAAAAAAATGGTTGAATGAATGATGTACCAATTTAACACAGCCATTGTTTAAATGACCAATATACTCTTTTCTTTACTTACTCCACTTTTTCATTAGTTTACCTAATTTTGTATGCTGAAATATTACATTGTCTTCATTGACAAGTTCAATGTAAACTGGAACTGTAAATCAGTATAAATGTAGAACACAGAGCGAACCAATAAGATTAGATGTGATTGAGAAGAGATGGCCCTAAGTTTCAATTTAGAGGGCTTTGGCTATAAATCTCTGGCTTGGACATATTTCTCTTGATATGCTTTCATAACAGGTTTGATCTATTTAATTTTGTAGATTCTCCTAGTTATGTAAAATCAATGTATCTTTAAGAATTTATGCCTCCTAAAATACTATGAACTTGTCTTTTATGCTATATATTTCAAAATTAGACTTGGTATGATCCAGGTGAGTGCATTCCATCTGTATATAGAAATGGTGTCACTAGTTTCATTTGTTATGTGTTGGCATTGCTTTTATTATTATTATTATTTAAAAAAAGGCTAAGTGACTAAGGGAAGTAAGTATTTTCAAAGGTTTTTCGTATCCATTTGAACAGTGGTAAAAGGATTATCTGACTTTCAGATTTTCAGATTTCTATTTGGCCTACAATTGAGGATGGAGAACGTTATAGAGCATCTGTAAAATCAGTTCCCTGTCATACATGTAACAGTTTGGATGAATACCTGAATGTTTTGATACCCGTGATGAAATCAGTAAAGTTAATTGGAAGACAAGCGTGGGTCCTGAGTATGTTCCTTGTAAAACTCCTTGAAGCAAACACTCCTAACTTCAGTTAGCTGCATGTAGAAAGTATGCTTGCATTGATGTAAAAAGACTATCTAATAAATGCTGATCTGGCAAAGATCTAATTGCAGGATAGAAGCTTGTAGTTTGAGAGCTCAACAAAGAAGATTTTTGTAGGAAGGTTTTCAGGAGAGATTTCTAGGCAGGTTAACAAACACACACTTACAGTCTGCCACTTAAACTACAACTGCCTCATCATGAGCACAGTTATTCTATTATGCTCTGAAATAGGAATTTCAGAGACATCCAATTTATGCTACAATGTAGTCACTATTGTATTGGAATCATTTAGCTGCTTTAACTTCTCTGTAATATACAAATTTGGAAGATTATGCTAATGATGTAACTATCATAGGTAGCACTAGCAAAATCAATAGATAAATCACAAGTATCTTTCCAGGTGAGCAGAAATAGCTCTTTGATTATAGATGGAGATGGGATTCCCACCTGCATTTCAGAAAATGGAGCATCATTAGTTCTATTTTACAGAACTTAAGATATATAAAGAGCTTCCTGACTGTGGTATTACAATAATTTATGTGCCTTACCTGCAGGTGCCACTGCTGTTTGCGACCCTGTTCTTTGCACTGTAAAATATGTGTGCTGGTAGAAAGGCTGTTTTAATGTAAGGACAGCCATTGCTATGGTTACAGTGAAGACAGATTTGGTACTATTATTTTAATACACAGGAAATACTCCATCCACAGGCAGGATTAGTGTGAAATACCTGTGAAATAAAAATCGCAGTGAGTACTGTATGTATAATAATGATGAAACATTTTATATTCCACAATATTGGCAAAATATGTTCATCGTAAATTAAGGCAGTTGTTCAGGGCAGTGGCTGCCATCTGGCTATTAAACCATTGAATGATACCATCTTAATTCATAAATTCATAAATTTTACCTAAACTAGTCTAGTCTTAACAGTGAATATGCCCAACATATTTGCTTCTGTAGAATGTTGGTTAGGCTGATTCTTAAGATCTTCCCTATACAAGACAGCACTTATGCATGAATTTAATTTTTAAATCTTTAAAGTAGAGCATCTAAATTGAGATTACTTGCATGTAAATTTTCTGGAAACTGTGGCTGAAATTAGAAAATGTAAGATTTTGATTGTCATAACTTCATAAAGTCTTGATAAACAAAATGATCTGTTTTAAAAAATTGAGGAATGCAGTAGTTTATATAGCAGGCAGACTACATTTATATCTATTTTATATCTTTTGGTCTAAATAAACTAAGCAACATACCAAGGTTATGTACACTGAAAATATGATTACAGTAACTTTTAAGTCTGTGTTCATCTGTTAGTCCTTGAAAATAAAATAATGTATGAATATCTCTTCAGCTAGTGTAAATAAAGCTCTGATTTTTAACGCAACTGTATGCTATATCAGTGAAGTGGCAGGCTTACAACATTTAAAAAGACTAATTCTACAGGAACTTGCAGCAACCTTACCTCAGACTCTAAAGCATTTGATGTTAAACAAACAAAAAACCCCAAACCAACAAAGTTGAAAACAAACTTTCCCAACAGGAAACTAAATGGAACAGCAACTGCTGCTTAAAGTTTTGTTTTGTGGTTGTGTTTTGTGTTATGTTGTGGGTTTTGTTTGTTGTTGTTTTTTGTTTTGTTTTTGTTTCTCCTTAAGGCTTATGCTTCTGGAACAGCTGCAGCAGAGTTGGGGCAGGTTTGGGAGCAGCCAGTCAGCACACAAGTACTGCACACAAAAAATTATAAAGAGCAGCTGAAGTGAGAAGCATGTATCTTAAGTGCAAGATTCACCAATACTGCATGTAATGCTAGCTCTGTTCATCATTTTTCCGAACCACCATCTAAAATTCAGTTATCTTAAGAAGTTTAGTCTTGGACCCAGATAGAAAACAAGCAGTGAATACCAACCTTTGAAAATGCATATTCTGGGTGGGACTGCCTAACGGACAACATACAAATATTTGTGCAACAGACCTTACACAGTAGGTTCTTGATTTGTTTTTCAGGGAATGATGCAACTGGATAGGGATGCTTCAGAAAGAATTAGGCAAGAAAAGTTTAGTAAAACAAATATTTGCCCTATGAACAGTGCCTTGAGCAATGTCATACAGAGATGACAAACTCCACTGAACAGTGCAGCTGCACTCCCACAGTAACAGATGTTATTGGCTCTAAAAATAAAGCTCTGTTATAATCTCACTCAGAAAGGTTATGTGTTAATATATGTATTAAAAAAGATACTTTAGCGATGTTTTGGTAGGACCTTCAAGGGTTTTTTTAAACCTGCAAGCTGTGACATGATTACTTAAAACTTTCCAGTTTCTTCACCATGGAAGTATACTATGGAATTCTCTAGTAGCATTTAGTTTCTCACTTTTTAATTTTGCTTTTCTGTTTAGTGACACAGATATTCTGTTTGGATTGAAAAATGAGATCATATACCCTCCTTAGCTTATGTTACTAATGGCATCACAAAATTTACAATAGGATATTCAGCCAATTCTAGTTCCTAGCACTGCAGAGGACATATACTGCCAACAGGCCCTTTTCTACTGTAGTCCTCACTCCAGGCATTCTTAAAGCACTCCAGAACCGGTCAGATAATTTAAAGGAAAAAATAAGAGATTAGGTGTAAAACTAAATAAATACATCTGTACTACTAAAAATTTACAACCTAATACACTAGGATAAAGAAAAAAAAGCAATTGTTCCTTTCTCTTTTTTCACATTACACTCAAGTATATTGGAAGTCACATTAGGGTAAGCAAGAACGGTACCCGAGTGAAACATTCTACTTTGCTTAGTAAATGTGGCAGCAATGTAATTTTTAATTTCTGGATATTACACAGCAGATTATTTTGGTGCATAGTGTCTGCCAAACTAATTAACTCTTCAATAGGATTAAGTGTAAGCTTTGGTATTTTCATATACTTTAAAGCTTTAAAAAGTACCCAAAACTGCCTCAAAGGTAATAGTTCTTTTTGTTTAGAAACAAGAGTGAATAGTAACAAATTATGCTTTTAAGAAATGACAAGTCATTTATTACCACTTACTAGCAAATAATCGTATTAAACCTGTAATTAATGCAGTACAATTTTTCCTCTTAAAAGCAACACACTTCTCAATTTCATTTAATAGAATGTTGACAGGGCTTGAAAGAGCTGGGCTGACAGTTTCCCCTGTGCTTTAAAGGATGCTACAGCAAACCCAAGAGCATATGTATGTCTTAGTTTTTTTCCCAGAATGAAGTCAGGTAAATTGCCCTGGCTATGTTTTTTGATCCTTCCACAAAAGTATAATAAAATCAAAGAAACATGTTTTTGCCTGTGATAGACTTTTAATATTCATATTATAAGTAGAGAGAGAGCAGCAGGCTTACATATGTTTCAGCTTAGTAATTAGTAAGTATTAAGTTGTCATATTTCATCTTCAGTGATGGCCTCCATTCTTCTTTGGAGGAAACAGTGTATATTCAATGCCAAGAGCTATGATGAAAGCTGCAAATCCCCACTTGAGTCCTCTAGTAAAGACTTCTGTTAAGGTGACAGGTTTTGCAAAGCCACCCATGTATCTCCAGGCTTCATTACTAGAAGAAAAATGAAACCAAAATAAAACAAGATCAGTGGAGCCACTGCAATAAACATTAACAGGAGTATCTTTGGGAAAAAAAGATGGAAAGTATTTCAACTAGATATACATTGAGACTGTAACATTTCTATCATTTAAGTAACAGGAGTTGCCACAAAGTAAAGTTCATGATATTAACTCTAACCCTTTATGCATATTATTTGAGATACAAGTAACACCTGCAAATAATATAGTTCTAGTAACAGAATCACCTCACCAAACTTAGGTAATTGTTGTCTTCTGTTTTTACTATGCTTGAAACAAAATCAGAACTCACTAGCACAAGCATGGGATGGAATATCTACAAAGGCTCGTCACTGTGCTAGACAGTATCTAGCATAGTTAAATCTTAAAAGGGAAAGTTTTTCCAGCCCTAGAAAAGTCACCCACTGCAAAGGCACTTTCTGTTTTACAATATGACACACAACTGTATTAGGGTCAGAAAAGCCTACTAAAACTGATTAAAAAAAAAAAGCTGAAAACACTATGTTTAGCTAAAAAGCTACCGAATATTTACAAACCTCACACTGTTTTGCCTTACTGTTTTCAACCTACACTGTTATTGAAACGTTAGTCACTGGTATAACTGACTACAAGTATTTATGTGCAGCACAACCAGTGTAATCTATAAAGATGGACACAGTTTGTCTCTTCTAAGGACTCAAAGTCCTTAAGAAAAGGAAAAAAAAGTTGCACAGAAACATGCCATAAAATCAGAACCATCACTTCAGGAGAAGATACAGGTTTTTAAAATAAGGAGGTCAATTATTTATATTCATAGATAAACCCCTTCTGCAGATGGTTTCTGTGACTCAGGATGAAGGCGTATTGGCATGGAAGAGTATCTTCTAGATGTTAGTATAGGGTACTAATTGATAGAGACTTAGGTTTCCAAATATGACATCTTTCACACAGCTTATTCTGTATTAAATATGTACATTAATGTGCATTTGCTACAAAGGTGGAAAGCTGATCCCCTGTTAAAAGGAACTTAATATAGCAAAGAGGGGAGCCTTAGAGAGGGTTACTTTTTCAAGAGTTCTAGTGCAAGATACTAATAATGCAATCTTATTCCAGATTACTGAAGCAAACAACTTGATACTTTAATTTCTCCTTTGTTAAGGAAGATTGGCATGATACTTGTACTTGTCCTATGGAACATACTACCTTACATAAAACTTTAAAAGTTCAGGAGGAATCATCTCATGCTTTAAGAGTCTGACATTGTTCCTCATTTCAACTCCTCACATAATTGGCTTAATCCCCTTCCTTTACCAGAGAAACATTCATTTTTTTTTTATCTAGGAGCAGCAACAAATATTTCACAAGCTCTTTTCCAGTTTGCTGGTTTGCAGCGCTTCCTGAACTTGGAAGTGTATGCACTAAAAGTCAAGTTAATTTACACTAAATTTAAACTGTCTCCATTTTTTAAAATGGGAATAAGCCTATTGCCTGCTGAAAACAAATTTGTCTGAAGCAAACGAAAAAAAAAAGCTAACACTGTTTGCACTCCACAGAAACAGAGGCAACATAATGTGACACAGGCTTGGAAAGTTCAATGGTAACCGATAATCCTAAGGGTTCATATCTCAAATGATTCTTATAATCACCAAAACTCTGTTTTACTCTATGCTTACAGCTTTAAACTGTTTTAAAGGAAGGAAAAAAGCGCTGACAATCCCAAACCCCTTCAGAGGTTATAGCATGTAACAACTTTTTAACAGATTACCTGTTTGCTCTTAATATTTTTCTTGTAGTGATTTGAAGTAAAGCCTTTTCTGTGAAGGTTCCTGGAATAGTTTGCTTATGCAGCTTTTCCCTTACAGAAGAACCGGACTACACTGCACAAGACATTTAGCATTTTTTATTCCCCAAGATTAAAGAGTACTTTAGCAAAGTATTACATAATTCATGATGTGGGAGAAATATGTTAAGCCCTATTTTAACAGTGCCTAAAAAAGAGGCGGTATTCACTGTAGAGTGGGAAAACTTAAGAGGTAAAAATCTTCCATTATGTCATTCACTGCTTAGCAAAATAAAATGCACAGTTGAATCAAATTCCACATTCTATACTAGTATAGTTCTTTTTTCAAATAAAGGCCTCCTGTTGTATATGAGGAGTGCTATTCCTACTCAGAATGTCAATGTAAGTTCCATCAACTTCAGCAAGATTTCTTTGCTGAGAAGGGACAGACCTCATATTACTTACGTGTTTTGGTGGATGAGGTATTGGTCATTGTGCCTGATCTGTTCCATCATGAAACGACACAAAGCGCAAGAGTGCCTTGCAAAATGTGGAGACTGGTCAAAGTGATGCAAGGTGTGACCTCCATGCAAAAACTAAATAAAGACTTAACTGAAATTCTGACTAATATATTCTAGATCCATTTTAACTATTTTTACTAAAGAAAGAATAATCCACAATGACAACTCAATGCTACAGGATAACATATCAAGATTATTTTTGAGGCTCTTGCACTTACCGAGCCCATGGATCCCTAAGACCCCGTTTAGCTAGCCTTTCCTGGACCTTCTCTAGTGGAGTACCCTCAATCTTCCATTGCCTGTAGTCAGGGAGTTCCATTTTGCCATGGCCATGGCCATGTTCATTTCCGTGCCCCATACCTTCAAGAAAAGATCAGAGTTTTTTATTTCTCAGAGTGTATCAGCTTATTTTCACACACTTGCAAAGAACAATACCCTGTACAGAAAAAGCAGGGAAGTTACAAGAGTATTCCAAAGCATGTAACACTGCACATGAAGCATCTTCTGCATTGTACACAAAACACTGCAGAACAAAGAGCTAAGAGATTTTATGCTGCATTTCAGAAGCTGGTGATTAAGCACAATAAGGCAAACTATGCAGACTTAAGTGTTACTGTGTTGTAAGTCACCACAACCATTACATTCATGAAGCAGCTATGTAAATTTTCTGCACCAGAAAATAGTGTCAGAAAAACAATTGTTTCCAATGTCTATAAATGCACTTTATCAACACCAGGGCCCAACAACTTGCAGGCTTTCCACAGTACATCAAAAGCTCAGAGTTCAGTTTGGAAATTTCTAATTTAGGTATGGCAGAGCTATGATCACCAAGCTCTGAAGAAAACCATGAGAAAAACAAAGACTTGGCTCCTCAGCTCCTTGCTTCCAATTCAGTCAAACATAACTGTGGCAATAAGCAGGTATACGATAGATGAATGGACTTTACTAGTCATTTCATGAAGCTGGGAAATATATGCTTTATTTAGATACACCTTTGAGAGAACTAGGAAAATATTAATGTTCTCATTAAAAACAGTGATGAAGGCAGGTGGGAAGGTGAACATTTTCAGTGAGATGATGAAAGACTGGAAGAAAATAATGATGGCTTTGAAGTCTCTATTTTCACAAAACACCTCAGACTTGTTTGAGCCAGGATTTCCTATTTTAACACATATTTGGTAGGAAAGAACAGATTTAATGTCCTTAATTTTACAGAGAATTGACTGGAATGCAGTGATGCCAAGAACACAGCTTTGATGCCTGTAATTCTTGAAGGAAACCTGAAGAAGCGCTCTAATGCTGTCATTACCCGAAAAGCTTCCCCAAAATTAACCCCCAGTCTACACCCTTGCCATAAAAACCCAAAACCTCTCTCCTGCCAGTATTTACCTTTCTACAAGAAAAGGGTTTACGTGCACATGCACACTAGCGCCCACACGCCGCGGCTAGCGGGCCGCACTGCAGCACCAGCCGGGCGCTCTCCACCAGCAAAACCGGCAAAAGCAGGGCCGAAACGGCACCTCGAGATGGGGCAGGGAAGACTCGCACAGCCCCAGCGCCGAGGCCCACTACCGGGGCGGGGCGGGGCGGGTGTCTGTCTAACGGTGCGCGGAGAAGGGCCATGGCGGCTGCGCGAGGCCTCTCCAGGTCAGGGGCACAACCCGAAGCAGCAGACTT